AGGCACAAAGGAGTGCTCCAATTTGTACCCCGGGTAGGAGAGATACGAAGTATCAGCCGGAGAGGACACCTGCGTCTCGGTCAGAAAGAGCAAGGCCGGCTTCGCCGTCTCAAGATGGTAGTGGACGGCGTTTAGGTTCGAGTGAAGTCCCCTGATGTTGCAGAAATTCACGGATAGCGTGGCAGGGGTCGCCTTGGTCTTGTTGCTCAGTTTGCCCCGAGCAGTTATTGTGTTGAGCGGAATTTTGCCCCCCCCAGAATACGCGGGGCAGCCTGAGCACCCATGCTCAGGAGTGGAATAGCATGGTCGTGGATGCTCAGCGAGGGATTCTCCAGGGGTACTGGTACCCTCCTGGGGTAGTTTATGACGTAATTCCGCTACCATGTTGATGGGGGGGGGGGGGAGTTGGGCATCCGGTCACCTGCACTCACCAGACGAAACGCGGAAGCAGAGCTTTCACTTCACGCCGGTATTCTGTGAGGTCGTGGTACTAACCCGGCTCGAGCCGGCCCATACGTGCAACAGCAAAAGCTGCTGCAAGGCTCTACCACCGTTAAATCGTCTGCGTAAAATCCCGTCGCAGACACGCCGAACGTTGCCGCCGTCAAATCAAGTGGTGGCTGCTGGATCAAATCAGATACTCAGAGTTTTACTCTGCCGCTGGGGATATTACACCCGTATTCAAGAACCACCCTTATTTAAGTGTACTGGCTCTCACTGCGAAGTGTCCGATTTCTCACAGTGATGGATATGTCCATCGACTTGTTTCATAGACAACACTTAAGTATTTCTTTACTCAGTGAATGCATAGGGAAGGATTCGGCGTTTTGATTGGTCGGTTTCGGGGCTAGCTTCAAGTTATTCAATTTTCAAGCGTCAAATGTCAATTAGTACATAACCTCAATTAATGTGTTGATTTTTGCAAACTGGCTTGTGTTAGATACGATACGCTATTTGAAGTAAAATTTAGCTTAAATACCAAGTAGAATTTTTGTGATAATGGAAATAATATCTCCGGCTAACAGTGCTAAATGGTAACTCAAATATTTTTCCTCAGTAATGTTTATTTTGTGTGTTTTTTGATAATTCATTCAACATACATTATTTTAATTTTTAGCTCAAAAAAAATAGCTTTTTCCTCCGCCGAAAAAGAACTAATCATAAGTTTGGTAAGTGAACGTCCCATTATTGAAAACAAACAGACAAATGCCCGAAACTTGAGCTCAAGAGGGCGGCATGGGACGAAATTGAAAATGCCTACAATGCAGTACCTTTTGTGGTCAAGAGAACGGCATTACAGCTAAAGAGATGCTGGGAAAACATAAAAAGTTGTCGTAAGAAGGAGCTGTCAATGGAAGTCGGCAGTTTATTACAGACTGGAGGTGGAGTTGGTGAAGCGGGCACTACAGAAAACGTCATAGACAGTATTTGCCCATACATAAATCTGACTGTACCTGGAGTCATTGACTCAAACACAGAAGAGAAAGTCCTAGGTAAAAGATTTGTTACATAATTATCATAATTAAGGATGAAGCTTTATTTCTTGTTTTGTTTACATCACTACTCTATACAAAGCTTGCATTTTACTTACTATTAAACAGCAGAGACAGAGTTATATTGTAAATTAGAAATGGAATTTTTTGAAATTTAAGCAACATTATTGTTATTGTTCACAGTAAACCTGAGTTCTGTGGAAATACATGCTCCAGAGAAAATAGATAAAGAAAACCAACATGGTAATATAGTTCTGTAGTATTGTCAAAATGTTACTTAAAATAAACATTGAATAGAATGCACAAAAAGATAAACTATATCTGGATATTATTTCAAATATCTTATTTTGTGTACATGCTACTTTATTTTGGGTATTTACTTTTCCTTTTTTGCAGATAATGAGGTCATAGAAAGTTTAAAATTAAGCAAGAGGAAAAGAGGATTATTTCCTTTAAAAACATTAACAGGTACAGGAACAAGTATAATATGTATTTTTTTATGTACGGAAGGAGATATGAAGTAGGCAAATATAAATTCATTGTTCAAGGGAGCTTTTAGCTTTCCATTACATACACTATCTACTTACAAGTGTACATAATTTGATGTAATTGACCTATGTAATGATAACAGCCAGACACACTTGCTTATAATGTAATATTAGAATTGATTTTAATGTATTAATAATTATGCCCATTTAGTAAGTCTTTAATTACTACCAGCTACTACTACTTCAAAACACTCATCTCAATAATACATGTTGTAGATTTATACTTATTTTATTTCAGATAACAATGGTAAGCTCTCCAGTGAAGTCCAAGTGCGGGTAAAGCGGTGCAAGGAGAATATAGAGCAGGATTCAGAATTACATAAATTGAGAGTCCAGAGGGAAAAAATATTGATAAAAAAAGAAGAAATATTATTGGAAAAAGAGTCACAGCAAGCCACATTTCAAATAGAAAAAAACAATTTAGAAATCAAGAAACTTAAGTTAGAAATAGCATTATTGGAAAAAAAATTAAATTAATTTATTCAAAGTCCCTGTAAAAATTGTTTTATTTACATGAAATTAATAAATATAACTACCAGAAATACATTTCAAAAATGTCGTTCAATAAACATTCTCCTAAAAACTAATCCCTGTCTATTGGATGGATTGGCATTCCTTCTGTCAATTCTTCTTATAACCGGTGGTTCTATATTCTCCTCAATTTCATTATGCAAACGACAAATATTATACAAAATGGCTGTGGCTACTACTACATGGCATGTTGTTGTCAGATTTGTCGCTAGTTTTTTTGACAAACATGGGAAAATTCTTTTCCAAACACCTATAGTTCTCTCAACAGTATTTCTGGTCTTAATGTGAGCTTTATTATAATTTTGTTCAGCATCTGATTCTGGCCGTAGAACTGGTGTCAGTAAATATGTTTGGCAACCATAACCACTGTCACCTAAAAGCAAGCCATCAATTTCTCCTCCTTCCAGCTTTGCTTTTAATGTACTTGCTTGAAATATACGATTATCATGAACTGAACCTGGTCTGTCAGCTACAATGTCATATATTTCTAATTCAGGGCCGCACACAAGTTGTGTATTTATGGAGAAAATTTTTTTCCTGTTACGGAAAACTTCAGCAAAATTTCCTCCAGGGTTTTGGATAGCAACATGTGTGCAATCTATGCATCCTCTTACTCCAGGAAACTGCGCAATCTGGTAAAATTTTAGTTTTGTATATTCACTGTTTTCTGGGAATTTTATGTACCGTTTTATTTGCAAACTAATCAAATAGGACACTCTTTTGACGATTCTTGAAACGGTTGGTTGGCTAACACTAATAAGGTCGCCGCTGATAATTTGAAAACTGGCTGAGGCATAAAATCTGAGTGCAATTAGCAACTGGTACACTGGGGGAATTGGTAGTCCTCTTTTTGTAAGTTTCTCGAGATTGTGAGAAATTAGCGGCATAAGTACGTTTAATACTGTTTCTTTGCGAAATCTATATCGCTGTTTAAATTCCACTTCACTATAATATTCGAAAGGGTTCTGAAAATCTCTGATAACACGCCTTATTGTCACGCTTTCTTGGCGATTCACTTGTTCGTCCAAGTAATTATCAAATTCCTCATCACTACCACTCATTTTTATTTTAACTAGGTAGTACTAAAATACACAAAAGACAAACAATAGTTTATAAGTTTATATCATGGAGTATAGTTTATATATAAGTAATAACTTATGCTTTATTATTTTGAGGTTATGAATATGACATTTACGCCGACCCTATGCGTTCGTTAAAGTAGCTAATGGGTAACTTTAGCCAAGGGTGTCCCTAATTAGTTGCATAGTGTCGTCCAACACTCAAGTAACGTTTATGAAACAAAATTTCGTCCACTGTGGGTTAAAGCCTACTGTGCGTACGCATAGTATCGTTCTTGAATACGGGTGTTAGTCTCGACACATCAGGCAAGTCCGTCCAAGAGTGCTGGAAAACCATTCAGACAGCAATCACAAAGGCGGCAAAGTAAGTTCTCGGAGTGGCGAAAGGGGGCCGCAAAATCGACAAGGAGACCTGGTGGTGGGACGCCACAGTCCAGGGTTCATTACGGGAGAAGAAAGCGCTCTTCAAGACGTCGCAAGTGACCAAATTTCCTGATGATCGCGCATCTTACAAGACAGCGAAAAGAGCTGCCAAGAAAGCTGTAGCCAGAGCCAGGCGTGATCACTTGCAACCATTATATGCTAAGTTTGACACTCCTGAGGGGCACAAGCTCATATATAAACTGGCACGCTCTAGGGCCAAAGCAGCGCAAGATATTACTCGCTGCTGCAGCGTCAACGGCCCTAATGGCGAGCTCCTGTACGATGATCGTGCGGTGAAGGAAAGATGGCGCTCTTATTTCCACGTTTTGCTGAATACTCAGCACCGGGAAGTGCACCCTCCCGAACAACTCCCGAACCATGGACTCATGCCACCGATTACACCTGACGAGGTCCTCGCATCTCTTCGTCACATGGAGAATCGGAAAGCTGTCGGACCGGACGAGGTGCCAATTGAAGCGTGGAAAGCGCTGGAGGCTCGTGGTGTGTGCATTCTTACTAACCTTTATAATAGAATCCTGAGCGACCGAATAATGCCCGATCAGTGGCGGCTTAGTATAATAACGCCGGTCTACAAGGGTAAACGGTCCGTTCAGGATTGCGGTAATTACCGCGGTATAAAGGTGATGTCACACACCATGAAGCTCATCGAGCGCATTATTGACACCAGGATCCGACAGGAGTGTACAGTGTCGGACTTCCAGTACGGTTTCCAACCAGGACGCGGTACCATGGACCCTATATTCGCCCTAAGGATCCTCATGGAGAAGCACAGGGAAAAGAATATGCCTCTGCATTTTTTATTCCTAGACCTGCAGAAGGCCTTTGACTGTGTTCCTAGGGAGATGATCTGGTGGGCGTTGCGGTAGAAGTTGGTACCAGAGACCTACGTGGAAATCGTACGTGACATGTACCGCAACTCCAATTCAATTGTCAGGACCACTGTTGGTGATACCACCCCCTTCACCATAACCGTAGGTGTGCATCAGGGCTCCGTCTTAAGCCCCTATCTCTTCAGTGTGATATTAGACGAACTGTCAGCCAGCGTACAGAAACTACCGCAGTCTTGGCTGCTTATGTATGCTGATGATATCGCACTGGTAGATGGGGACAAAGGACGGCTCACCAGACGCGTGCACGCATGGAGGGAGGCGCTTGAGAACGGCGGGCTGAAGCTAAACGTGGCGAAGACGGAGTATATGGCCTGCAACAGCACCGATCTGACGTCTCTCCGTATAGGCGACGACACCTTCGAGCGCACGGACAACTTAAGGTACCTCGGATCTGTGCTTGATGCATCCGGTGACATCGATCGCGACATCAAGGCCCGTAAATCAGCGGCTTGGGCGGAATGGCGCGAGGTGACGGGTGTCATTTGTGACCCCAAATTGCCGGTCAAGCTGAAGGGACAGGTCTATAAGACCATCATAAGGCCTGTCCTTACGTACGGCAGTGAGGCATGGCCGGTGCTGGAGCGACACCGGCAGTTGTTGCATGTCACGGAGATGAACATGCTGCGGTGGATGTGTGGCCTCACGCGGAAAGACCGTGTACGGAATACATACATCCGCCGCAGCCTCCATGTCCGTGACATTGCTGACAAGCTGCAGGAAAGTCGCCTCCGCTGGTACGGCCACGTCTTACGGCGACCGGCAAACAACGTGGGAAAGAAATGCCTGGACATGACCTTACCTGGTACCAGGAGTAGAGGACGGCCCAAGAAACGCTGGCTTGATGTCGTGCAGGATGACATGCGCGCCAATGGGCTAGTTGTGAGGGACGCCAAAGACCGGGCAAGGTGGAGGAGGAAGTGTAGGAAAGCGGACCCTGGGTTCTCCTGCGCTGGGCGGGATGAGCAACCGGGATAAACGCTAGGTAGAAGAAGAAGAAGATATTTCAGGTGTTCGAGAAGCAACGTGAGCGTCGTCAACATGTAGATTACCACCAGATTACCACAAATGTAGATAGCTTACGGCTCTAAGCTATCTGCATCGCTAAATTTCCTACATGATAGAACATGTTTTCACTAATGGCGGCGATAAGAAACAGTGACAAATATACGAAACAATAATTCTGCAATGGCAGATCATCCCATCAATGGGAAGTAATTTGTCATACATTACTAAAAGGATTTTTAAATCAACAAAGTTCTATTGTAATTAATTCATTTTTCTACGTGTGCAAAATATTTACACAATATATAAGTATGTATAAGAAATATATAAACTTTATACAATGTGTTATTTATTTCTCACAAAAGAGCTGAAAGTTTTCGGGGTTTTGATCAGAGTGCAAGGGGGACGGAGCGGTGACTTCATTAGACGAGACCCATCCAACTTTTTTTTTTATATAGGATAAGGGTGACAAATGAGCACACAGTCCACCTGATGGTAAGTGGTTGCTGCGGCCTATAGACCATCTACATCTATCCTCTATTAAAAATCAAAATGCAGATGCGTTGTCACCCGTGAGGACTAAGATGGAATGCCTCATTTCCAGTAAAAAGGGTCTCCGGTTCTTTACACTCACCATACGAAACACAGCAGCGTAAAGCTGCTATTTTACGTTGGTATTCTGTGAGACCGTGGTCCTTCCCCGGTCCAGCTAACCCATTCGTGCTACAACTATACTACTAATATAGCTGCAGCATGGCTCTACGTAAAACTAAAAACGTACTTTAGTTACTGCGTCAAGTCAAGGTTCAGTGAGCCTCTTACAATTTGGTAATTCCTGCTAATTTTCATCCTTGCGATGACTGAAACATCACTGTACAGTTTCTGTCTAAAAAATACGTTATATGTTACATTCATTGGAGTACAAAACCCAACCTATTTTTTTGTTGATCTCCAACTAACAACACAGTAAGAAATTGCTTTTCAGGTTCTATTTAAGTATGTCTCTTTCAAAAGTACATGTGAAAAACATTGTTGAGAATAATCAAAAAAGTTTATGGCATCATTTCAAAAAATCCGAAAGGTGAGAATGCTAAATGACTATTGTGTTTTAATTTGTTGCAAAATAGTTAATTGTGTAGAAATACATACTATGTCAACTTGTCAATTACGGCGAAATACAAATTTAGTCCACCACAGGACGTTTGCTGCGTTGAGCAGAAACCCGCGCCGGGTTTCCGTTGTACATGCAACGGAGTCCGTCGTGCACAATTGTCACACCCGCCGCGGAACCCCTGGTTAACGCACTGTTTTCAGGAGTAATTAACCGCGTACGACATGAAAATCATATGGAACGCGAAATATTCGGAGAATAAAGACGGAGATGTTTATCAATAGTAAATTACTCTGGGACTGTTTCATTTATTTGTATGAAACAAGTAAACAAGTTTCTCCCCCATCGGTTGTCGGTTCTTCGAGTTATATGGCAGACCTATAGCTACTTTAGTATAATGATGCATTGGGCTGTGTTGGTAACGCTGATTTAATTGCGGAAATCCTATTGTATAAGCCTATTACACAGATCAACTCCGAGAATAGGCCTCTCCATAGTCCCATAGGCTTCATCATACGGCCAGTAGTAATGACCACGTCTCAGATTCATATGTCATCAGTCATCACTGACAACACGCCCTGGTAGTACAATCTTGGTTTCAAGTTCTAAGGTAACTTAACTAGTCGAACAATTTGTCCTAGGTAAACGTACTCGTCGTCTACTTCGAGCGTAGTGCTCCTAACAACTACTGGCAAACGTGTGGCATGAACATTACACATGAAATTTGTTTTGTCCATTTTCATATTAAGACCAATCGTTTGGAGACGTTATTGAGGTCATTGAACATAGTGCTGAGGCCCTCCAGAAATTCAGTCATAAGGACTATATCCTCGACAAATCAGTGTGAGTGATCTACTTGCTATTGGTATTGATACCTTATCCTTTCCAATCCATTAGCTTAAAAGAAGATTGTTATATTCGATCTTCTGTACAATTTACCGTAAGGTATGTATGTAGTCCTTGATACAAAAGCCTTTTTAAAAAATGTCTGGAGGCTGGACTTGACGATTTGATGTTTCGAACTGATTGTCGAAAAAATCACGTAGATGAAGCATTTTCTTAAAGAACAAAACCACCACACTTCTGCTATATGTCTCCGGAGTAGTGCCACTACTGAGGACGGAATTGAAGATCTGGAGGATTTTTAGTACCGGTATTTTTACCCGCTTTCAGAAGCTCCGCTGTTATACCATCCATTCTAATCTTGCTCAGACTGACGTCCAGGATGTCATTAGAATAGTGTCATTGGAATAGAAGTCATTAGATAAATTAGAATAGTAGTCATTAAAATAGCTAGAATTTACAAATTTATAAGATTCTTCAATTTCTAGGTCAGTAAGTGGCAAATGTACACACAACCTAGTTAAGTAAAATTATTCATATCTTCTGGTAAGATAAGCATATCGAGGTTGCTTTAGGCGGCAATTAATCGAATGTGCTTTAACCCTTAATTAGGCGCAAGAGGTTCAGACAATTTCAAATTAAAAAAAACCTGTTAGAATGTTTGGAGTGCAATCGCGCTCTTTCTAGCTGCCTAACTCCCCGCGGGATGCGCAAATTAGTCGCGGCCAGAATTTCAACGCGTATACACAAGTCTCTACTCTCTTGGGTGGTGACCCCGTGCTGCACCCACCTAAGGCGACCACTTATGTAACATTTTTTGGCGGAGGTAAGTTTTAATTTGTGTGTTTTTACTTAGTTTCTATGTGTATATTGTTATTTATTTTTATTAGTATATGTGTATTGTTATAGTGCATATTCATTTTACCTATGTTTATCTTTATTTTTATTGATTTTCTTTTTTTCAGCTTGCAGTTTTGAGATGATTCTCGAAAGATCAATGGTTGACGGATGTGTCTGACGATGAGCAAAATGTTGTTGGTTCTGCTAATGCTATCAGTAATGCTGAATACTGATAAGAGCAACACACACATAAGGTGAATTGTTTTTGAAGAAAGTAGCGATAGTACTTGTAGAAGATTAACAGGAACGTAGCATTCAACAGCGTGCAGCCCCTTCAACAAGTGCAATAAATGTGGTAAATTTATTTGTCAACAACACTTTAGGGTATACTACATCGGATGCAGAATATAAGAATCTGCTGATGAATCGGATTTTTGTAACGTTGATCTCGGCTACGCCAAAAAATAGTAGTTTAATGAGAGATTAGAAGTTTTGTTATTTTTTAAAAATTGTTTAAACTCAAAGTTATGTTTTAGTTTTTGAAAAAGAATTATAATAGAGAATTTTAATATTTTTGATAATACATGTTATGTTTTATTTATTTCTAAAACTCTGTTTTCAACAAATTATTTGGGGTAGTCACTAGACCCTATGCGACTAAATGTGTGATTTTCTTCATGCGCCTAATTGAGGGTTAATCATGATACAGCTTGATATGCGCTTATCTTCAGATTAAAACTTATTTATTATAAAAGAATTGGAGTAAATTCAACAGATATTTAGAACAATTGCAGCAAAATGCGTGCACTTTCTATAATAATTTTTTTAGCCATTGTCGCTGACTCAGGTGAGTTTTTTTCCTATTGCTTCGATCATTAACTATAACGGAGGAAATAATTTATGTATGTTTGTGCTAGTCATTGAATATACACATATTATCTGTGTATCATTACGTAACATTATAGTATTTATATAGTACCTAACATTTCAAATAGAAGAAACGGTTTACGAAAGTGCGACCACAAGGAGTAGTATCTATAACATGTTCGTTGCTACAATAAAAATACTAGTATATTTTAAACTACGGCCGCCAAACGGTTAGCCAATCGTGAAAACTATGGCATAATATAATTAACAATATACGTTAGACATGCTTCCTCAGAGGGATCTCTAGGTGAAATCTATGAGAGGGGATTATGTTCAGCAGTCAGCAGAAAAGAGCTTTAGCTTTTGTAATTTTATCGGTGTTACGACTTATTAGAGATTTTTCTTAATAGTTTCAATGCTCTGTACCTACTGTAATATAATGTTGTGTTTCAATTGCTTTTCGTTCGCACTTGATACTTATGTCATTCCAATTTCGAATCTCTTGATTGAAATGAATTTAGAAAGGCAGATATTTAGTTTTATTTTGACATTGAAAAAATTATACTATAAAATAATGTGTTTCAATGGCGTCTGGTCCATACTTCCATACTTCATATTGCTTCATATTATTTATGTCATTCCAATTTTGTATCTATATTGAATTGAATTTAGAATAGACAGATAATGATAGCCATCTGTACATTTAAACAATTTTTAACGAACTTTTACTGTAGGTTTGCTAGTTCAAGCATACCATTTATAACATGTTTGATCGTCTTATGGGAAAGCTTCGCTCTCTGAAAAATATTTACAATACAAACAGAATAGAGTACATTTAAGTGTAGAATGATTTATACGAAAGCATGCTCCTTAGGCGTTATTTCACTGGCCCCATATACTCATATACAAGTTTGTTAAATCGGGTATACTCGTACTTTTGAAACTAAACAACAATAAAATAAACTCTCTAAAACAACAAACAATTATAGAACCAGGTGTTCTATAATTTTGTTTTTGTTTTAGAAAACAACAGTCTATAAACACTAGGAACTGATATAAGCTAGTAATTCCAGTTACTCAACTTCACAGAGTCAGTAATTCAATCATAGGGGTAAAGTCTATCTATCGCGAGTTTAAAATATTTTATTAAACTAAGATTGTTCTAAGAGTTATTATAATAATTAGAAATACACTATGTATAATAATAAAATCTGAGATTAAGTGATCTTTACTGAGCTGTTTCTAATATTTCTTGCATAATTAATTCTACAATGTTCAAAAAAAGTCCCGCTGGGTTTCTTCCTGGTACTTCCAAGAACAAAGGTATTTTCCGAACCAGTGTTCTATAATAAATAAAAATGTCTTGACAAACGCAGTACCAGACATTTCGTACTTTGACGCTACTCCCCGTCGCCGATCTAGGATTTTACGCTTGGGGTTGAGAGGTAATATATTATGCTGCCATCTAACGGGAGCCATAAGATCTTTTGGCATTTCTCATTGTTTCTCCAACGATACCCACGGGACTAAATGTTGTGATAAATTCTATTAAACCGTCACCACACTATATAAATATAAAAATATGTAACTTATAGAAAAATATCAGTACATAATCTACCTATATATACATACACACACACATACACACCACACACACACATATTATATATACATATACAACGTGTCCCAAAATTCAACGATAAGCCAACACTGGAGGATAGACCTGCCCCGGACTAATCGGGTAAAAAAAGAAAAAAAAATATATCCCAATTATATTTTAAGTTATATAAAAAAAATGAAATTCTTCAGAAATTGAGACCGTTTATGATATTTTTCACTACCATGACCACAATTTTTTAAATATTTTTTTCTTTTTTTTTATAGGCAACCTGAATAGTACTGCTATCTACCACAATTCTTAAAAACTCCAGAATAACTCTTGTTTTATCACGAAAATTAATGAAACTTATTTTATTCCCTAAATTTTTTGAAGACTTTTACTTTTAACCAAATTTAACTTATCGTGGTGTAAAAAAAAAGTATGAACACTAGTATGGCAAGTTTTTTTAAAAATTGACGCAACTAACCAATATTCCAAAATGGTATAATACTCTAGGAAAACAAGTTATAAAAAAATATGGGCCTATTATTTCTTAACAGAGGCCAAATGACGGTCGGGTGTAATAAAAGTATTATTTCTTGAAAAATGTTTAATATTTCAAAACAAATGGTACAAACAGTTTCACGTGTAATTTATTAAGTTATTAACATTATAGCAAATGTTCGAACTGTTTGCCACCAGCATTAATACATGCATGACATCGCCTTAAAAATGATCGTTTTATTTGTCTTGCATATCTTCTGCTATTAATGTAATCAGCAGCCTGAGTGATATTTCGACGAAGCTCTTCCAATGTCACAATGGGTTTTGAGTAGACCCTGTTTTTAAGACAACCCCAATAGAAGAAGTCCAGGGGGTTCAAATCGGGTGAACGGGGTGGCCATAAGATAGGACCAAGTAGCCCGATCCAACGCCCTGGATACTCTTGATTTAAATATTCTCGCACAGGACGGGCATAATGTGCTGGGCAACCATCATTTTGGAACCACATGTTTTGAAGATCACTTAAGGGCACGTCGTTTAACAATTCTTGCAAGTCATTTTGTAAAAAGTTTAAATAACTATTGCCATCTAAGTTTCCTTGTAACTCAAAGGGCCCAATTACTTTTCCATTTAATATGCCGGTCCATAGGTTAACCTTGAATTGATATTGGGATTTGTCTTGTCTCATCAAGTGTGGATTTTCATTACTCCAACTATGTAGATTGTGAAGATTTAAATACCCATCTTTCTTGCACGTTGTTTCATCCGACCATAGAATTTTGTCTAGGAAGTGGGGATCTTCACTGTGCCTTTGCAGCATTACACGGCAAAATGTGACCCGTAGCGGATAGTCCCGCGGTAATAACGTCTGCACACGCCTGTAGTGATATGGGTGAAGCTTGTGACGTTTTAATATTCGATGTGCAGAACTTTTCGGGATTCCTGTAGCTTCTTCTATGGCACGTACCGAAGTAGTCGAGTCATTTTCTATCTCCTTGAGAACTTCTTCATCACGATCCAATCTAGGTCTTCCAGCGCTGCTCCTATTGGATGGCATACGACCCTCCGAAAACGCTTGATGCACATTAATAAACACTCGATAATCAGGATATCTTTGAGCATTTGGGTATCTTTCTGGATACAGTCTGCTAGCAGCGTTAGCATTACATCGGCATTCTCCATAGATTAAATGCATATTAGCGTATTCCTGTGGTGTGTACGGTTGCGGCATGTTAAACGCCAAACAGTCCAAAATGCGCCAGAACTCTAAATCACAAAACACACAATCGTAGTCCAAGATAATGCCAGGTTAGTTCAGTTTGCAGATCACTTCCAGTCCAAATAATGCCAGGTCAGTTAAGTTTGCAGGTCGATTCCAGTCCAAAAAGCCAAGCCAAAAGTCGATAGTATGTACGAGGGCCACGTAAGTTGAATTGGGTACGGTGCGCAGTAAACAAAGGAGCAGAGCGTACTGAACCGACTTGCTGAGAATAATAACAGCTTCTCTACCTGCCCTGTTGTTGTCTCTTTTTAACGTAAATATCTCTATCTATCTATCTCTCTCTAACATCTAAGGTATTAATGCCCCATTCGAATTCCTATAAATTGTAACAGGAACCCATTTTGGGCATGTAGTAAAAGTGATTACTGACAATTACAATTTAAGGAATTTGGCCCCTGTTAAGAAATAATAGGCCCATATTTTTTTATAACTTGTTTTCCTAGAGTATTATACCATTTTGGAATATTGGTTAGTTGCGTCAATTTTTAAAAAAACTTGCCATACTAGTGTTCATACTTTTTTTTTACACCACGATAAGTTAAATTTGGTTAAAAGTAAAAGTCTTCAAAAAATTTAGGGAATAAAATAAGTTTCATTAATTTTCGTGATAAAACAAGAGTTATTCTGGAGTTTTTAAGAATTGTGGTAGATAGCAGTACTATTCAGGTTGCCTATAAAAAAAAAAGAAAAAAATATTTAAAAAATTGTGGTCATGGTAGTGAAAAATATCATAAACGGTCTCAATATCTGAAGAATTTCATTTTTTTTATATAACTTAAAATATAATTGGGATATATTTTTTTTTCTTTTTTTACCCGATTAGTCCGGGGCAGGTCTATCCTCCGGTGTTGGCTTATCGTTGAATTTTGGGACACGTTGTATATATATATATATATATATATATATATGTCGTAGAATTCAACAGAGGATACCAATTTTGATCTCGGATACATCAGGATAGCATTAATTATTAAAAATAATAAAAGTGTGAGAGCGGATGTTGAACTTGCTCTTTTGCTTACACAATTAATCATTACCAGTAATAAGACAATGTAACGCACTATACATTCAGTATAGTGAATTTATAGTTCGACCACACCGTAACACGTCTCTGCCACAAGCACACACCATTGAAACGTGAGGTTTTTTACATGATAACACCAAAATATGTAAACCAACAGCAACACTACTTATCTCATTGTAACACAGGGCAGCCTCTCAGCTAGAAGAATTACAACAACGAACAAAATATGTAAATATATTATGTAACTTAGGCTAGTTTTATTTTAGAAAAAGAATTAGGGTTCCTCGCAAAAAAATTTAAATATGTAAATTACACGCGGGCGAATTCGTGGGGAACAGCTAGTTCAACATATGACTTATCATAATATAATATCTGCATAGTGCTGTCTGAGACGTCAGGAATTGTCGGAGGCTCTTCCACATCTATTCAGAACTATCCGTACGTTGCTGCGCTACTACGATCCTCAAGCCAAGCCTACGTTCAGTCATGCGTTGGGACAATCATCAATAACAGGGCCATTCTTTCTGCTGCTCATTGCTTTTAGTAAGATTATCTCATTTTATAAAATATATCGCTTTTACTCTTATGAACCAACATTAACTGGTCATATTTTTTACAGTCGTGATTCAGCAAATAGATGGCGCATTCGTGTTGGTTCCTCGTACGCAAACAGCGGTGGTACCGTTTTTACTACAGCACGGATTATTAGTCATCCCAGCTATAACGAATTCTCTTACGACCATGATGTGGCAGTAATGCACTCTAGCCGGGGTTTTTCGTTCAGCAACAGTGTACGCGCCGCCAGTATTGCCGGCTCAAACTACAATGTCGCAGATAATCAAGCTCTTTGGGCTGTTGGGTGGGGCACAGCTTCGGTAAGATATAGTCATTGAAAAAAATAGTATTCATTATAAACCCCTACTTGCCATTATTTGAAAGCGAAAAAAATTAATAATAATTATTAATAATAATAATATTATATTGCTGTTTCTTTTCTATTCAGTACGGCGGTTCATTCTCGGAGCAACTGCGGCGTATTGAAGTTAGGAGTATAAACCTGAGAACTTGCCAAAATATTTATGTTGAGTTGGCAATGTATCTTACTGATAATATGATGTGCTCAGGTTGGCTCAATTCTAGTGGCAAAGATTGCCAAGGCACAACTGGAGGTCCTCTTATCCACAACAACGTCATCGTGGGTGTATGTACATGGGGAGAGCAATGTGGGCTTGCTCGTTACCCTGGTATCAGCACTCGAGTGTCGCGCTACACGTCTTGGATCCAATCAAATGCATAATGTAGTCACTCGTAGATGTTTTTGATAAAAATAAATATGTGAGAAATAAATATGTGAAATTTATTCATTTATTATTAATATATTTATATTCCCCTGTAAAAAAAAGCGATTTTAGAGAAAACTACAGCTGTGCATGATCTAGTCTACATGAGAGGATTATAGAGCGTAAAGCAAGCGCAGATGCACTCTCTATTCCCTCAATCTTATAGTTGACGGGAGAGAGATCAGGTGGAAGATGAACGACTTTACGAGCTTCCTAACTCCGGGCTGTTGCTGAGAATTTCAAGGCGGAAAAACCCCGGAGTTCGAAACCCAAACCAAATGACCAGCAGTCGCGTTTAGGACTGCTATACTAATGAGACACTCAATAGGCAAAACAGTAAATAAACTAGTACTGTATCATTTCTAGGGTCTAAAATAGAATGCTTTATTAACACGTTATTAGGATCAAATATTTTTTTTTAGGAGAGGGGACAAATAAGCACGCGGCTCACCTGATGGTAAGTGACTACCGCCGCCCATGAACAACTGCAACACCAGGGGAACAAGGAGAATTGCAGATGCGTTGCCGGCCTTTTAAAAAGGAGTAGGCTCTTTTCTTGAAGGTCCCTAAGTCGTATCGGTCCGGAAAAATCGCTGATGGTATTCGATTCCACAAGGAAGTTGTGCGAGGAAGAAAACATCTTCTAAATCGCACAGTGGTGGACCGCCAATCATCCAAATGGTGTGGATGGTATCGGGAGTTCTGCCGCTATGTGCGTTCGTGAAATTTGGCGGCTGGGATTAATCCGAACAATTCCTCAGAGCACTCCCCGTGGTAAATGCGAAAGAAAATGCAAAGGGATGCAACATCTCTTCGCAGTGATCAAATCAAATCTTTGACAAAACCAGCACCAAGTAGTTAAAGAAAACTCTTAAGGTTTGTAAAACAGTTCATTGTCTTGTTAAACAATAACTCGATGTCTTAAATAATTTAGAACACACAAATATAATATTGTGTATACTTTCCTGTAAATTAGATTTGAGCTTATGAACTCTAGCGAGACAAGGAGAAAGAGCCAACTATAAGAGATTTTCACGACTTCCTTGAGAAGAGAGCATCGATGCTGGAAAATGCTGATGGCGTATGAATATGCTGACCCAGGATTAGGTAGGATAGCTTTTTTTTATTCAATTATAATTTAAGGGACATTTACCGCTTAGGGTATGTCAGTCCCATCATACCCTAATATACATGACTTACTCATATAACGTTACTTAATAACTACATGGGCCATGGATTCGAACAGAACTTCCGCATCGTCGCCATTTGGTTGGGATAGAATATTATGGAATGTGCCTATGTCAGTTCTGTTCAAATTCAAGACCCTTATGAAATTACTTCTAATAGACTCAAATCGAACACATTCCATCAATATATGGTATAGGTCTTCTATAACTCCACAGTCTTCACAATTGGGCGAAATTGTTTTTCTCATTAGAAATACAAATTTCTTACATGGAACGTGTCCAGATCTGAGTCTATGAGCAGTAGTAACTAATTTCCTACTTAATCTAGTGTTCATGAACCAGGGCACATGAAGAGGCTGACACTGTATGGTTTTGTACCATATTCCTTTTTTAGTGACCGCTTGTTAAAGTATTCCTTCCACATTTCATAACAAATATTTTTGATTTTAGGTAAAACTTCTGAGTAATCCAAAATAATATTAGTTTCCTTTCCATTCTTAGCTGCATATTTTAGTTTAACTACTAGCTTGATGTTTCTAACTAAATTAAACATTAGAATAATTTAATCTTATACCAACTCGTAAAACTCTTTGACTATTATAACGGCGGCCAGCCTCAACAGAGACTAGCCATCTGCGCAGGATAGGATTATAGTGCCCAAGTGTATGCGCAAGCACAGGTGCACTCTCTATTCCCTCACTCTCATAGTCCGATGGGACGGTAAACCGACACGACCGGAGAGAGATCAGGCTCAGGACCAACGGCTTAACGTGTTTTCCGAGGCACGGGGGTGAGACACCGCCAACTTCCTGACTCCGGGCAGTTACTGAGAATTTCTTGATAGAATATTAATGAAAGTATGTATAACACTCTATGCATTTATTTTTTCTGACAATCTGTTTTCTCTCTAGAATAAATTACTTAATGATTTTTTTAATAAACTTGTAGTTGTATTGCTCACTTAATAACGCGATGCGTTATTAGGTAGTGCATTACTCTCGACATGTCAAGCAATTTTGTGGTCCTAAAATGCCTATATCATTAGCATATTCCACTTAAACGATAATATGAATAGCCGTATATTAAGAAAACACTCCAATTAATTCATATTATATTTTATAAAAAATTGTGTTATAATGCTGCTTTGATAAAAATGGTTTGAAAAAAAATTTTACGTGGGTCCGGATGTTGATTTTGTATGTGGTCATGATAACTCCTGAAAAAATTAACATATCGACACCGGTTTTTTTATTAGCTTCAGGATTATATCAACTGGATCCATGTTTGATATCAATAGCCTAGTACGCGTCGCTTGTTAATAAAATTATTATCAAGTTTTATAAGTTTTATTGATATTAAAAAATTAAAGGCGCTTTCATTTTTTACTTTAGCCCTTGATAGACAAAGGACAAATGTACCTTACAGTGTATATCGATTTATAGTTTGAGTAATCGATTTATTTTGAAAATTTATTTTTTATCAATACTAAATGAAACGCTCATGAGGCGTGCACTTTTGGATTTTCTAAACTATTTTACTCTATACTTGAAAAGTTTTTTATAAAACTGAAGTGTAAAACGAACTAACAGTCCACATAACACAAGTGGCTACTGTAGTCCAAAAACTTTACAAAAAACTTTAAATAAATAAGGCTACTGATGCGTTGTCACCTCTGAAGTCTAAGATGGAATGCTTCACAACCTGCAGCTATACTGGGTCTCTATATCCTTCAGACCGGAACTGGCAGTGCAAGCAATACTATTTGTACAAAAACAGAAACACGTAAGAGTGTAGTACCTACCCAGACATCCGTCTGGGTAGATACTACAGAAAAAAGGCGAAAAAAAACACATTTGTAGTGTCTGTCTGTATAATTGAAATTACTGGCTTCTATAAAGATTGTCCAGGCAAACTTAGGTGGGTCGATAGTATATTCCTTAATTAGCTAAAATTCGTATTATTTGTGGATGTTTGTTGTGTACATGTTTATGTAAGTACTCAATAAAAAAACCATGATGCCTGGCTGCTCGGGTATACAGGTCCTGCATGCTGGCAAGTTTAAACGAAATTATTCAGAGGGAACAAATTTATGCAGATAATCGTTCAGGATAACAGGTCCACGCCTACATATATTAAGGGCTCTAGGCTCACGTGAGCTAAGGCCCAAGCTGAAATGATACTCTGGTTCTACTGCGGATATCCTCGTTTTTAAGTCTTTCACGCAGAGAAACCCCGAGCATAGCCCTCTCTAGAGCTCGCTGAGTGACTTTGAGCTTCCTCATACAGCCAGTAGTGAGGGACCACGTCTCAATATGCATAGGTCATCACTGGTAACACGCACTGGTTGTACAATTTCGTTTTAAGGTTTTGAGGTATGTCTGACGAGAAGATGTGTCGTAGTTTCCCGAACGCTGCCCAGCCGAGTTGAATCCGTCGATTGACCCCTCGGTCGAAGTTGGACTTACCTAGTCGGACTATTTGTCCCAAGTAAACATACTCGTCAATAACTTCGAGCTTAATGCTCCCAACAACTACCGGCATAGGTGTGACATGGACATTAATCATGATCTTTGTTTTGTCCATGTTCATCCTAAGACCTATTCGTTGGCAGACACTATTGAGGTCATTGAGCATGGTGCTTAGGTCCTCCAGCGATTCTGCCATAAGGACTATATCGTCGGCAAATCGAAGGTGAGTAATGTACTCGCCATTGATGTTAATACCGTATCCTTTCCAGTCCAGAAGCTTGTACTATTTTTGTATTAAATCAGTCAGAAAACAAAAATATAATTTCATATAAAATAAACATCTAATTTAATTTATAACCCGCATCAATATAAACTTTTAAATTAAAAAACTACGTAATGCAAACCTTATAACAGCAATAGTAAAGGGTAGAGGAGTTTTTAATTAAAACTAATTTTACGGATTTTATCGCGTATATTAATCTATTTTTATATTCCCGACGTTTCGGGTGCTAGAGTAGAGGAGTTCATAAGCTTTTCATTAATAGAGGGCTCTGGAAATATAACTACAGCTTAAATGTTTAACTATGAAGATTAAAACTAAGGAGAGTTGCCGTGCTAAATGTAATAAACAAAATAAAAACAAAACTAAAATATATATGTCTAAATGCTACTTCAAAAAAATATAATTTAGTGTCGAAATGAAACAAAGAAAAGTGGAATTGTAGCCAGTGAATACATAATATAAATCCATCAAAATAATATTAAACAAAACACACCTCATCTCTCTGAAAAGTATACAGAAAATAGAGCATGTTTTAGTAGTTCTGAACATAAAATGAATAGTGACAATATAACAATAATGAAGATTTTAACAACGGGTTGTAATACGTCAGTAGGTGTGAATTGGGGCTTCTGCGTCACTTTGCTCTCACTTCGCTCGAGCTACATGCCGCTGAAGGTTCCAATTCTCTCCATTAGAGGTCTAAATTTTTAGTCTAATTCTCGATCCGCTTTTTTTATCTTTGCTCCATTTCTAATACCGTTTCATTCGGAATCTGAAATACAAATCAATAATATAACAACAAAATATGAAGGCTAATCTATTTCATCGTTAAAAATGCAAGGTAGTACAAAAACATTTACTTTAATAATAAGTACTAATCGTTAACGGTCTGAAACTATTTTTTTTCTTCTTCTCGAACACAAAGGTAGTTCAAATTAAAAGATGATGTGTTTTTTTACATATATTTTATTAGAAATCAAACAATCATTTTGTTTTCAAAACACCATTTCTTAATACAT